CCCCAAAACCCCAAAACCCCAAAACCCCTTTCCAAAATTTAAATATTGGAAATAAATTTATTCATAACTTTTAAATGGACGATATTAGGTCAGACCTAAGCGGGAAGGACTCCCAAGCCAAGGCTAGCTGCCATGAAGACTCTTTTGCTAGAGAAGAAAATGAGACCAAGAAGTACGCAACACAGCACAGTGACAATTGCCATTGGTGCAGAGTTAATACTGATGAGAAAGAAATAGGAAAGGAAAAGCACCAGGAAGAACACAAGAAGATACAGTCGGAAGGAAAAAATAAGAAGGAGGTCACCAAGGAGGATTATGACCAAGTCGTCTCTATGGGTAAAAGTATGTGGAATAACCTTTTTGGGAAATATGTAAGCAAGAAGGGAAAGCAACCTGACCACAAAACCCCTAGTATGGAAGCAGGGTCTGATAGAGGAAGTGACCAAGGATCTCAACCTAAATCTGGGAGATCTGGCAGTGCTCCGAAAACTATTTCAGGGTCTCAGAGGAAATACTCTGGATCTAATCCTCCTAGGAGTGGAAGTTCTCCTCGCTCTCAACATACTATTGAAGGAGCCCAGGCTATTCGACAACAAAACGTAGGGACTGGCCTAATGGCTGTTCTTGGAAACATGAAGGAAGAGAAGAAGGAAACTAAGAAAGAGAAGAAGGACAAAAAAGACAAGAAGAACAAAAAAGACAAGAAGGACAAAAAGGGCAAAAAGGACAAAAAGAGCAAGAAAAAAGACAAGAAAAAGAAAGACAAAAAGAAGAAAGATAAAGAAGGAAAGGATAAGTCTGAAGAGAAGAGCAAAAGTAAGAGCAAGAGCAAGAGTAAAGACAAGAAGGATAAGAAGGATAAGAAGGATAAGAAAGATAAGAAAGACAAGAAAGGCAAAAAGGATAAGAAAGATAAAAAAGAGAAGAGTAAGGATAAAAAGAAAGATAAGAAGAAAAATAAGAAGAAGGATAAGAAGAAAGACAAAAAGAAGGGAAAGAAGAAGTCCAAGAGCCGTAGCAGCTCTAGTTCAAGCAGTTCTAGTAGCAGCTCAAGTAGTAGCTCTAGCAGTAGCTCGAGCAGTAGCTCGAGCAGTAAATCTTCTAAGTCGTCGAAGTCAGCCAAGTCATTCAAAGTTAAAAAGCACAGAAAATCTTCTTCTGAAAAGAGCTGGAAGGGTAGTGACCACAGTCTTTCAAGAAAGAGCTTTGTTTCAGAAAGTATACAACTGAGTGAAGAAGAGAAGGACCGTGTCGGTAATCTTCCTGATGGCCAGAGATCCCAGGTCTTCCTCAAAAGAGCAACCACCATCGTTAGGAGCAATATTGACTTAGAAGGATCAGAATCTATAAAAGGCGAAACTGATGATAATATCCGAATGTTGATGTGTAGTTTATGCAAGAATGTACTCGTCAATCCAAGGATCTGCTCAGGCTGCCAAGTCGCTAACTGAGAGATGTGTCTTGAAGAATGGGGACTCAACCATAATAGGTGTCCTAATGGATGCTTCAAGTTCAATTATACTAGACCAGCTAAAGTGTTAGGTGTCCAACTCAATAAGTTAAGAATCAAATGTGAGAACAAAGATAACGGATGCCATAAAGTGCTAAGATACGATGAAATTCAAAGACATCAACAAGAATGTGAATTTTCTTTGGTTCACTGCAAGAATGAAGGCTGTCAAGTCTCTGTGTTGAGACCTGCAATAGGGGAACATGAGAACTATTGTGAATTTGAGAAGAAAATCTGTGAAGGATGCCACGAAGTCGTTAAAAAGAGTGAACAAGCTATTCATAATTGCTTCAAGAATATTAATCAGAGGATGGTCAATTTAGAGCAAATGGTAAAAGATACAATGTCAAAATTAGAAAATCCTGCAGAGGGGTCAGATAACGATAAGTCTAAAGCTCCTATGTGTGTGAGACATGAGTACATTCAGGACTATTCATTAGAGTTCAGTATCTATCATCACCCTCAAAATCACTATCAAATAACTCTACCAAAAGATAATCTCCCAATGAGTGAGGATGCTAGATCCTTGATTTTGAGAGTAGTAGTTAACGACTGAGAAGTGTCTAAACTTTTCTCCAGATGTATCATTAAGCAAGCTGGAAGCGCCCAGGGAATCAATCTCTCTAACCATATTATGCCACAAAAGGGTGCTCCTTTGATTTTTGAGACATTCATGCCTTGGTCAAATGAGAATCCAGCACAGATAAGCATCGAATGGGAAAGAAATATGCACCATATGCATGAGTCTCAAAGTTATTATGGATCTGGGCATGAGACTCACTCTATGATTCCAGGAACAGGAGCTCCTCACTATCACGATCCTTATACAACTTCTCGCTCTCATAGCCCTATAAATGCGCCTATCGCTGCTACTCAAATGCCTGACCTGAGCAACAAGGGTGGGCCTCAGGCTCAAGAGTTGACTCAAGGGACCATTTTCATTGGAATTTCTGGATACTTAGAATAAGTTCAATATTCATCATCATCAAGGGGTTTTGGGGTTTTGGGGTTTTGGGGTTTTGGGGTTTTGGGG